GGCTTACTTTTACTTTGTTAAGAGACTAGAAGAACTACTTGCTGTTATTGAGCACAAGAGAGAGTACACCCTACAATTATTAAGAAAAACTAAGTTACAAAAATAATAATTGAAAAATAATAGTTAAATAAGATACAATGCACGGTGTGCTTTATCATTAAAGCAGGGATCATTACTTAAAACATTAGGATATCTCAAAAAAATTTCTCACTTTCATCTCAGAAGTGCAGAGGGAAGAAGAGCATCTCAGAAGCTGAGGCATAACAACATTCAAACTGACTTTTCATTGCAACCACAGTATACTTGTTATAAAGTGCATGAGGAGGAGAACAGCCTTCAAAGGATATAATAATAATAAGAAATCAAAATATGGATTTGGGTTTTTTTCTTTCTATAAATTTAGAAAGTGTCTATCATAAAGCAACAGCCATAAACCCGGAACTTTGTTACAAAGTTTCTCCATATCAAAAAGTACAATGTATTTTTAAAATTATACTTCCCATGACTGTAAAAAGTTATTAAGGGGAAGTGGAGGTAAAATAGCAAGTTACTGAAGCACTTACGCTGCAACCAATGCTTTCTTTGAGAGAAGGCAGCTTCTTTACCTTCCTGAAAGGTTTATGCAATACTCAAACTGGGTACTAGTTAGATATGTTTTTATTAAGATAGTCTCTGAACATAGGAAGTCTAGATCGCAGGCATTTTCCACTTATTTTGTTAAAGTAGATCAGTTGTAACACAAACCAACCAAGCCTAACCAACCCTCACCATCTTTGTTAATACCAAAGGAGCATGGAAATAGAAATGGCTCCTTAAGAAAAATTAAGCACTTTGTTTTCACCTCTGTATCAAATTCTTATCTTTCATTATGTTTGCATGCTCTGCTTTGACATGCAGAGAAATCATATGCCAAGTTGATGTAATGAGAAAAGCAGAACAGTTAAAACATTGGTTAGAACAGTGAAAGGATTTTAGGGTATAATCTGGTGTGGAAGAAACAGAGAAGACAATCCCTGACATGGATGGTAGGGTCTTCTCATTCTTCAGGTGAAATGGAACAGACCCATGCTTCTGAGGAAACCATTTCAGGGAGGGATTTTTATCATTTTATCAGAACTTCATATGATGCTGTTACTCAGTCACCATAGAAACAAGGGCAGAATGCTTTACTGAAGGAGATGGCTAAAGAGAAATTGGTATTTCTCAGGTCCAAATGTTCCCATTGAGATATTTAAATGGTTCTACAGATGATTCTTTAAAGTCAAACTTTTAATACATATGCATATAGATATACACAGAAATTGAGGGAATAACATTTTTTTTTTTCTGTTAGGTCCATACAAAGAACACAGAATAAGAAGCACTTTGAAATAGCAAGCTTCATATTTCATTTTTCTGAGCAGTTCTGAATAGGATATGGTTTACAAGGATTAATATTTTGCATGACTAAACAAAGCAATGCACTACAGTTGGCACACATACTTTAAAGGCATGCGTTCAGCTTTGCAGTTTTGTTTCACTGTAAACAATTTTTGAGAAATCTAGGCTAAAACACAGTCACTTTTATTGTACAGTCTTACAGTCATCATTGTGATACATTCCAAACAATAGGCATACTATACTGTTATACAGTGGCAGGAAGGAAATATTAAAAGGATTAGGGATAAACAAGAAAAATGATTACCCAGCTGAAGCAATCAGACAGGGATCAATATTGGAATGCAAAATACCCAAAAGGATTTTCAAGAATCAAAAGGGCAGTTATAGTAGATTAAAAAATGAGATTAACTAACACATACAATATGCACAGTACTGTATATGGATGAATTGCTACAAATAAAAAAGTGAATGAGAGCCTGACCTTTTACCTAAAACTGAACTTTATTTAAAATCTATTATATTTTCTAAATTAGTCTTGCTACACTTCCCAGCATACTGGTGCTCCACATATTATGTATTACACAGTGGGGCAACCTATCTCACCCACATTATAGCCTAATGAGTAATATAACAGCCTGGAACTAACATGGATTAAAAAAAAAGTCACACACAAAAAGACAGTCACAGATACCAGTTTTAAGAAACATCCATTCATTAATACGCATATTGCAGCACAATATTCTCTACAGATTTGCCAAAGATTTTCCATTTTGAGGACCAAATAGCCAGAAAAATGGGTTGTATCACTTGAGACAACTACAGTCAAGAAAGACAATAATGCCCTTTGCAAAGCTATTGCAATTTTGTAATGCCATTTCCTGAAGTAGTTTCTTTTCCCTGTACTGGATATTTTAAAAATAAAGGTGGTAATTCAAAACAAACAAATAAACTGACCTCAAAAGATACCACACCAGAATCACAAACAATCCTGACCCCAAACTGATGTCTTCCAAAAGAAGAATTAGCAGACTCAATGAAGATCTGTCAAACACCTGCATCTAAATGGAAATGCAAGTTCTATAAAACCAATGGTGTTTGTGGTAATAGTTGCATTTGGATTCAGACCTCCCAGCCCACAGAATTCCTCTGTTATGCTTAGAAAAAATCAGGCCTTGAAAACTCAAAAGAAATATTACTTTTCCTCCATTTCATTCAAAACTTGCTTTCAATAAATATGTATTAGTTTGACACCAATAAGTTAATCCAAATCAATAATGGATAGCGTTAGCTGGCAGAACTGTACATGAAGGACTGAGCCCAGACCACTGCACAGAACATGGGAAGCTGTGCCATCCCTGGGACAGGATCCATTTCTACTGCTAACTGCTTTCAATAGAAATAAAGCACCTTTAAATTTCAGCAGTGAAAATCCTTCAGAGGTTAGTTGGAGAAATGAGCAGATAGCTGTAGTTCTGTTTACAGCTATGTTGCCACTATTGAAAAATAACATTTAAAAATGTATTCAATATTGTCATGGATGGAATAACATTGTAAATTGTCATTTCCTTATATAAGAAAGCCTATTATGCTGGATGAATGGTACTACTCCTACTAGTGCTCAATCTTTATATTGGCAAATCAACGGGAATTTTCAAAGAAAGAGTATGTAAACAGTAAGGAGTTAGTCTCACTTAGGGAGTTGGAACTTGGAAGAATGCAAAATCATTCTGAGAATAAAGCAAAAATGGAAATACTAGATTTATAATCAATATAAACTGCATATACTTTGATGACTTACAGAAATATACACCAGTAGCAGATATAATTAAAGCAGAAAGTATTGCTTATTGTAACTGTATATTCAGCTGCAAAACCAAAGGTAATGTTGAATGAGTGCCAAAGTAATGATAAAGCACAACTATTTCTAACAATTCTCCTTAACGCAGGTTAAGAAAACAATAGGAGTCTAACTGATATCTGGAGAAATAATCACAATAATTTTCTGGACAAATAATTACAAATATTCACTGAAGGAGAAGTACTGTAACACACAGTTTGATGTGACAAAGAGAAAGGGATTTGAATTTGGGGACATGCTGTATATCTTGCAATGGACAAACCTCTAGAGGCAGCTCAGGACGTAAGGAGCACCAAACAACTTACTCTATCACATAATCACACTCAGATTAAAGTATCAAATTAAAAATAATCTTTACTTCTTACTCAAAGTCTGACAACATAAGCAGAACAAGGACTTAGAAAGCACTTGCCTTTGCAATAAATGCAAATTATAATGAAAATACATACATGAGTTTACAAATAACAATAATTCACATATGTATGAAGCTAGCAACTGAAACTGAACAGCAGAAAGGGCAATCAGTTTCCTAGAGCTAATTAACAACAGACTTGTAAACATTAACTTAGAAATGTCAGCTTTGATATTCAAAGAAATGCAATTTTGTTGTTATCAAAATTGAATCAACTCCTGTCTACCCTTAGTGCTTTGCTTTGTTAATCAAATAAATTTAAGGCATGTGATTTCTTTTAGTTCTCTCTGATAATTACTAATGTTAAAAAGCCCCATCAAAACCCACAAGCCCACGCACAGAAAAATAAGGACCTAAATGCTTTAAGACACTTCTGGCAAGCAAACTCCAGTATGCAAACAAGTTTTCCCAGTTATTATATTCAAAGAACCTCTGTCTCCTATCAGCTTAACCTCTGTATCTTTATTAGAGGCTTAACCACAAGTTTCTAAAATGCTTTCACAAGAATACTCAAGATGTATGATAATCATCCCTGTTCAATATTTTGGTCTTCTCTTTAGTAACCTAAAATACCACAGTGGTCAGAAACTACGAAGAGAAGCATAGTTTTCCTTATTTTAGGCAAACAAAGTGACTGCTTTCAATGGAGAAGGCCAACACCGCAGTGTTTCAAGATATTTTCACACTCCAACTGCTATGGTCTATCCCTCTTGACTTCTCTAGGTTAGCTTCTTCCTAGGCCCTTCAAAATAACCTCTCTAATTTAGAATTTAAACACATTTTGATTATACAAGATTTTCCACACAACCAGACATCTTCCAAATTTTTGCTTTTTCCTTTTAATTTCCTTTTTAACATTAACATTTCTGTTAATTTTGTGTCCCCTGAGTTTTAATGCCAACTAACTGTTCCTTTGTTACTCATCCGTTACCAAAACTGCATCATTACTGATTAACATTTCCATGCATTACTTAAGACAACAGAAAACAACTCTACCTATAATAAGAAATATGACAGCAAAGCAAAAAGGGACCATTATAATTTTAGGGGAAATTTATAGTGACAGAGAGAATTCTGATGTAAAAATTCTTGGTGCCTTGCAGAGAAGAGATTCCATAAACTCTTTACATTTCCAAATAGAAGAGAAATTGAAAAGAAAAAGACAGCTGGTAAAAGAAAGCATGTAATGACTACAGATTCCCTGCTGGTTATCTCCAAGTACAAAAATCATCAATGTCAAAGTTAAATCTGAGGTACAGAGTTCTTCAGAGTTTTTTTTTGTTTTGTTTTTTTTTTTTATTTGTTTTGGTAACAGAATAAGTGTATTAA